AGAAGTAGTTCACCGAGGGCTTTCTTGAGAATTTTTTTCAGATTTTTCGTTTTTTCGCTATTGCACGGCCCCAGTTGAAAATTACTGACATTGACTCTTGAAGAGGTGTATCGTGAATAAAACATCGCAAATGTCGTTTTGACTTTGAATTTATTCTTACTCTGAAATGTCTATGGAAAAAAATGAATCATATATACAAAATCATGTGATAAATGTCAATCAAATGGTCAAATGTACACTGTCTCGGATGTGCGATCCAACAGAAACGAATTAAAAACAAAACAATAGAAAATTTTCACAACAAGGTGTAAGAAGAATCAGTTTCCAGCTTTGTCCTTCAAGCAAATTGTGAATAGGAATTTTTTTCTTGTTAGCGTGTTTAGTTTGGTAAAAGTTAAGACTAAACAGCAACTTAGTCTGTTACAGTACCTCTTTAATCTGAAATAGCTAAGAAAATATTCCCCCTAAATACTACTTGCATGTCAGGCAGGCAAAAGATAGAATCCACTAACATAGCTACAGAACCCAGAAGCCCCGGGCTATCAGATATGACTTAATTTGCATGCTGACTATGGATTTAAGCAACTCAGTGGTGACCAATATACAGAAGGAGGTTGCCAAAAGGCAATTTCTGAAAACCTTGGGCTTGGAACACTGTTTAATCCTGGCCAACTGATTTAGTAAGCTACTCTTGGGTTTAGTATTGAGTACGGTGGACTCAACACTTGTGTGTCAGACTTTGTGTCTGCCCAGGGTCACTAAGTTACGTTTTGGTTAAATACACATCACTCTAACCCCTTCCAGAGGGAAGAGCACTGGCTTTACTTAATCTTTTGTTTCTGCAGCATCAAATTTTTGTTAGACAAAGTGCAGTTTCACACAACTGCCCAGTTTGAATATGGAAATTACAGCACTTGTTTGTAGTGCAATATCAGTGTTAGCAGATTAATGAAATTGTCACAAAAATTTTTTTTTACATTATGACTGGACATCATGATTGAGCACCCAAATGACTTGGCTATGTGTCATGAAACCTGTTAAGAATCATACATTTCATGTTTGTGATTCATCTTGCTTTTCAGACTAGCATAAAACCATGAAAAAGATCATCTTCTTTGAAAATCACTCCATAACGCATTACTAAGCACACTTATTACCTCATGTATGCCTAAAGATTTAGTCGTCAAATTATTTCTGTATGCAAATTATGTCGTCAATGTCTGACCAAATTGGTAAGATATCCAACCAAAAAAGGGATTTAAAAGGTCATATGTCCTGCTACTTGATAAAAGTTTTTACCAGTGCTGTTGAAACCTTAAAACTTCGCACTGTTCCTGTGATTGGGCAGACATCCATGTTATGAAGTTTCTTTTGTGTGAATGTCAAAATTCTCAAACATTAGCAAATGGCATCCTGTCTTTGGTGTTGCTGAAAACATATTTATTAACAGAAACACATCTGATTGCAGACAAATTCCCCTGCCCCCAGGATACCCCTACAACGGCATCACCAACAAAACCCTCAGGCAACAACGACATTGTCCCAATAGCAGTTGGATGTGCTCTGGCAGGGCTAGTGCTTATCGTCCTCATTGCTTATATCATTGGCCGTCGCAAGAGTCACCGTGGCTATGAGAAAGTTTAGAGTGGAGATGAGGTGTACAGGTATTAGAACAGCTGATGAATACACTAGTGTGTGAATGTTTCAAGACAGACTGTTCCGGCATAATTCTTAAGGCATAATCCAGTCAAGAGGCTGTCTTCACAAGGTCAACATTAAAGTTTACCTTTGCATTTTACTGCTTTACGTGTATTCAGTATAGTAACTTATAATCAAGCTTAAATCCTGCATGCTTTCTTTGTAGCAAATGTAATTGCAGGGGATGGAATATCAATGAAATGCAGCATATACAGTTATGGGTAGTGAATGGTCCTTCAAACTCCATGCTTCTTAAGAATGTCAATCAAATTTGACACTTTTTTTTTTTTCAATGTGCCTGGAGACTCCGGCTTGCACTGTAGATATTATAGTCTTGCAATGTTTCAGATTAATTTTTCACTTGCCCTAGAAGAAAATTAAGGAAGTTGAAAAATGTAAACCTGCTACTTAGTTTTTGGAAGTGGCAGAAGTTTGTCCCAGTGTGTTTCTATGCTCCATGTGGGCACAGCCTCTTGAACTGTTTTTGTTTTTTCACTGTAAAGCTTTGAGACTGGTTTCACCAGCAACGGAGTTGTAGTCGAAGTTGTCATCAGAAACAGAGAGTGATATGATCTGGTGAAAAGTAAACGGACTGAGTAAGAAGCAGAATACCGATTCCCCATATAACTCTGTTGCTTATGGTCCCGTGAAAACCACATTGTTGCATTAGGAAGGAGAAGTTGAAGAATAAACCAATCATAATGCTGATTTCGGGACCTACTGATTGGTTTGTTCTTCTTCTTCTGTTTCTGACTCCAATAATCTAGTTTTCACTGGATCAGGCATTTCATTAAGGGTTAGCATCAGACAAATTGACCAGTTGTGAGGATGACTTTGCCCACCTGGTTTGACCATCTAGAGGAACGTTTTTTGTACCTGAGAAGTACAGTTCAAATAGTTTTATCCACCTGTGAAAACAGTTGCCCTCCTGCCGAAAACGTTAATGAAACCCCTGCTGGGTCATAAGCGATGGAGTTGTAAGTGGAATTGGAAGAAAATGGGAATATTCTGATTCTTCCAACTCCAATTTCGTTGAGCTCATGACTCTAATTTTCGTAAGTGCTCTTATGACCCCGACGCAGACCTCCATTGCTAGTGAAAACCAACCGTAAAATGTTTGTCTGTTGCCAATATTACCAGGAAGGAATACTGTAGACTTTCCAGTTCGTAATTAGTCTGTGTGCAGACTCCCTGTTGTTAGGGCTTTCTGTGGGTTTTATACAATCAGCCAAACTTGAAGTTACTAGTGTAAATTAAGGAAGATTCATTAGTGTCGTCACAAGCAAGAGAATAGATGAACTTGATTTTTGTAGTTTTCAATTTCCTTTTTGATAGTGAATAGTCATGGAAAATACATGACGGTGCTACCTTTTATGTCCTAAAGGCTGCCGCACACTATCCGAAATTTTGTCATAGAACTGCAGATTTTTTGTCGGGGTCAAATCAGGTTAATATTTGTTGGGCCATCAGCTCGCAACTAACTGCATTGAGGCCTGGGGCCAAGTCATCCAAAATCAAGATGGCGCCTATTCCACTGATGTGACTGTCATGACATTTCCTAATTGGTGGAGGTACACACAAGCCCCAACAAATAGTCCTGATCCACCGCACACTAGCCGACAAGGCCCAACAAGATGTTTTGAGATCTAGCACTGTCAGACATTGCCCAACAAGTGAAGATTTTTTGTCAGCTGACAAAAAATCAGCTAGTGTGCGGCAACCTTTAGTGTTTGTTTCACATAGTAACATGTTCTCATTCTGATTCTAATGGATCCAGTAGAAGGGGTGGTGAATGGTACCTAGACAGTCATCATTGTGGGTCTCTGATTTTTCTTTTTATCTCTGAATCCTTTTATAGTGAGTGACTAAGTCTTGTTTGTATTATGTGTTTCTTTCAGTCTCTGCCAGTCTTAAATTGTTTAAGCCTTAGTCTTGGATTTTCAAATAAGGTTGGCGGTGTCACGGCAAGTCTCAGATGTTATCATTCATCACTCCTAATAGATGTGTCAGGTTCACCTACATACTGTTAGCCTTTTGAATAAAAGGTCAAAATATTATGTCAAAGTGTTTAGATAGATGTGTGTACAGTGTTGTTAAGAATACTTAATTAATGTTAATTGTCCTCATTATAATCGAATGTATTTTTCTTTTGTTTTTAAATAAATCTAAGTACACTTTTGGTACAGAATAAAAAAAAAAATTGATCAATTCTTTGCATAACCAGTGTTCCTAAATATTAAGCATTTGCATTGTATCACAAGCAATGAGCTTGGGGGTACCAAGTACTTGAGCAGTTTTTGAAACTATGCAAATTAGTTAGGCTAAACATTGATGGTTGGTTTTGTCAGCTGAAATTTTGTTAAGACCTAAATTTTCAGTGTGGAACCTCTGGGGGCAATCTAGCAGTATAAGTGGGAGAAATTTTCCAATCTCATCATTTTCTCATTGTTGTGCAGTAGCTGCCTAGATTTGCATTCCAGTAATCAACCTTACAGAGAATTTAAAGCAAGTGAAGTGTTCAGCAGAGATAAACAGGTTTATAATGAATCAGTCTTGTTAAACACTTGCAAACTTCTTATGTAGTTCCTGCTGTAACAGGGTTCTCAATGGAAAGTGACAACAGGATGATTTCCACTGTCCTTTTGACAAGACAGATGTGACCATCTGTTCTGGCATATTTGCGTGCCAAATGGAGGTTTTTGTTTATTTAGCAACAGGCACGAGGGTAATGATTATTGCTGGTAACAGAGTGACTTTTAAGGCTTGTTCTTCAGTGTTATGGTCTGATTTGTTGTCAAGTAGCTGGTATTCTATAGTGTTAAAGATTAACTCGGGGGTTACCTTCTATAGTTGTTAGGTTGAGATTTCGGATTTTGGATCCAGGTAACCAGTGTAGTTCCCAAGCAAACCGAATGTTTCCCTCTACGGACTGTGACACTAACTTTTTTTCACATCAAAACAATGTAATAATGCTACAGTACTTAAAACATAATCATCGTTTTAGTTGTTGATTTGCATGATCTTGCAACCTTTTTGACGTTTAAAGACAATAAAGAAAAGATTGTAAACATGACTGTTAGTGTTATTGAGTAGGAAAGTCTTGTACAGTATAACCTCTACTACGAACACCAAAGGAGAGGATCTGAGTGTCCTCATTATAGAGGACGGAGGGACAGGTTTGACTTCATTCTAAAATGTCAACGACTTTGATTCCATGGATACCATTTATTTTGTTCCAAACTATTTTGTATATTGTTTGTTCCGATAAGCTTGGGTGAGACCGAGGGGTTAGTGGGGGGAGAAGGAATGTCGAAACGGAGCTAGTGTGGGAGAGGGGGAAGGCTTCATGCAACCTCGTTCCCAGGGTCTCTTATCTTACCGCCCCCTGGATGAGAGACCAGAATAAGATGCTCTGGTTGGGTAAGAGCTGCATGAATAATTAATGATTTTGAGAATGAATGATTCAAGATATTTACATAATGTGTAAGTTTTCTTTATTTTATTTTCAATTGAAATGGTGGGAATGGGTTTAAAAGCCAGTCAAACTCCAGCTCCCAATGCAAACCGAGGTCGATTATTTTAATTTCGACACCAGTCATTACTTAAACACTGTATAAAACGTGACACCCAATCTTTTATCTCTTCACAGTAGTCTTAAGTGGAACGCGGTTTTCTTTTCGCGTGCGCCCGAAAAAAGTAAGAGGAGGAATGGCAAATATATCGAACAAAGCCCCGGAAAATTAAAAAAAGTGCTGTGATTTTTACAACCGGAGATTTACGGAAAGGTAAACCGGAATTTTTGACCGAATGGAAAGCGCGAAGCTCCCGAGTTAAACTCAAATTTTCTAAAATTATTTTTGCTTTAATGAAAGTACCGGGAATTTTTGTTCCATTTGGTTTTCCTCCCGGAATTTTCGGTTACTTGGTTCTCATTTCGGAAATTCGACAACTTTTGAGACCCGGAGAGGGGGGGGGGTCCTCCCAGAAAAATTTGGTGGGGGTATGCGGCCCGCTTCCCAAAACCCTCCCCCTATTTATGACTAAAATCTGCGATTTTCCCTACCTATTTATGACCAGGCCAAAAGTTCGATACCTTATTTATGACTGTTGCGGCTGACACAGTTGCCCTGAACATAATTTTTGACGGGCCTTTCTTTGTGGTCATATCGATAATGATGAAAGAGTAGCTTCTAAACAACATACCCAATTCAAGACTAGTATTTTAAGGACGGTGCATACTAAATACAAAGGTTTTTGCGCCAGGTAAGGATCACGCGAAAAGAGTAGATCTTTGCAAGAGCTATTGGAATCCACAAAGAAAAATGGGGGTAGCCGCGCATTTTTTCGAGATCATTAGCCTTGAATCTCAACAAAAATGCTGACATCAGCATTTTCCTGAAAAAAGAAGGAAAGGATATTTTTTTGATATGTTTTTAATAACAAAATCGTTGCAAAAGCGCTTTTAAAGTATCTGGCAGCCTTCCCCTGGCTCAGCTAAAATACAGTCTAAATACCTTTTGCTCGCAACCAGAAACTAATCACGTGTTGAATAGACTTGTCGCTTCCATTTCATAACATAAAATAAAGGGGTAACCACGCGTTTTTTAAAGTTATTGATCTTTTTTGAAAACTTTTACGGTGCCCGTTACATTTTTTCCTATCACCTCCCCAGTAAGTAAGACATTTGCGTATCTCGCACTTGTTTTGCGCGCGCACTACGCCATCTGCAAGTACATGTTTACAGTTGGATTTCAGTATAATCTTCGACAGATAATAGCTAGGTTTTCAGCTGGAAGACGTAAACAGTTTGTGGTTAGCGATGTGCTGTCATTCTAGTGTTCCTGGTTTAAGTACAGATTCATTAAACTTGATTTGGTCACAGTAGGAAACTTTTGCTTTCATTTTAGTCGTGTACTTGATAGCGTAGTTGATCGCGTCAATGTCAGCCCCAGCGCACGCGTGGAGCTAAACCATGCCTTGCGTGATGCGCAGAACGTGTGCGCACTAACAAAAGAAAAATGGCCAAATAATCGATGGACTAAAAAGTCGTTGCTGATGCGTGACACTTGGTTAAAAACGATTGAAGCGATACTGGATGTATAAATATCGGAAAGTGTCAAAAATGTTCATGAAAACACAGACGTTTCGGGTATATGACCCTTCTTCGGTGATAAAAAACCGTTAAAATACGCAGTAGATTTGTAACTACGTTAGATGGGCGCTCGCACGTAGAAAAATTGCGCGTGCATTGTTTAAATGTAGCTGAAGTTTATGTTTAGTCCATGCGGCTGCACTGTTCCTAGCCGAAAAATCAACCTCATCTCCTGTTGCTTTCGCTGGATGTTGGTGCCACTACACAAACGCATACCACGCACCTGGACATCTGTGATACTATGGCCCGTAGAGTTGAAATGTTGGGCCACAGGAAATCCAGGAGTGTTCTTGCGTATGCTTCGCAAATGCTCACCAAATCGACTTCTGAGGCTTCG